GTTTAAGAATGAGAATCAAATATTTCGAAAGTAGTGCTGCCGAAGACCAGACCAATACCAGGCGTACTGACGTGAGACTGAGGCCGAGACAGGGTTAGTCTCGTCTTGTAATAGGGCGATATTATGCGAAAGATTAAATTTGATTCAATTAAATTCTTTATTGCAAATAATAAAGATAAAGGAAACGAAAGATTTAGTATTGCCAATTGTTTCAGTCTGTTACGAATTTTATGTTGATGAAGCAAATTAATGTTGTGTAATTCTCGAAAAACAATTGAAGCATCAGAAAGGACGGTTTAAGAATTTGTTCATTTATCAACCGACTTCAAAAAGGAGGATGTTCTCATTTCGATTATATTTTTTTGTACATAGGTATGTTACGTGATTACCTACTCCTACATCTATGAATCGATTTTGATGATTATATTTTTGTTGGAAAGAGGGTACATCAGTATTATATACACCTCTAAGAGTGGAAAACTAGGGGATGCGCATATTCCGGTAACCGATCTCAATAAAACTTGGCAAATAGATGTAAGTAATTAATTCCACGAACTTTTGTCGTCGGTTTTTTTTAAAGTTAAAATTATTTCAGGGTTACAGGTTATAAAACAACATAATACAAATTAAAATAACAATAGTAAGCAAACAATTCCTTGCTTATAAAAAACAATAAGTAAATATGCATTGATAACATACTTAGGTACAAAAGACTAAAGAGTTAAGATAAAACACAAGCGCGACATTGATACTTCCAGTACTCAATAACTAGATATACTATTAATAAACTAAAAATAAACTAGACAGAGATCGATTGATCTATCTTATATAAATATATAAGCTAATATACTTGTAAAGCGACAGTAAATCCATAAAAACATATCTATTATACTATATAAACAATTTAATATTAAACAACATTAACCGATTCACTTTGTTGCTAAAAAAATTACGAGATTATCATTTATTGCGGACGCATAGTTTCTGTTATTATGATCGAAATTAAAATGAGTTGGAAAATTGTTAAAATTATTTCTCGCACACCAAATAAATGAAAGTTGCTTGTAATTTGCGAGTACGACAAGTGAATTAATTAAAGGACTGCCTCCGTGGCCGAACGGTTACCATGCCGAACTGCCACACTGAGGTCCCAGGTTCGATTCCCGGGCTGGGAGAAATATTTGTATGGCCTACATTTATTTTTCTCGTGAGTTTATGTGTAATTTGTGGTTGTCTATGTGTGTGTCCATGACACCCGCGACACAGGGTTTCCCTAGTGCGGGGCTATGTTGAGTGTGTGTGTTATTATGACTATAATGTAGGTATCATTACGAAGACGCTTTGCATGTGAGTTTTGACAGAAGCTCGAAGAAGTCTATAAGATTGGTGGTAATTTTAATAAGATACATGATAGCTGCTATTTCGCGTATAAGGAGTAGGTACAATTTCTTCTCCTGTAGAAGACCTCCTCGTGAAAGAGTTTGTTCAGGAAGTACTGCCACGTTGCCTATTTCTGCCGCCAAGCAGTAGTATGAGCATTACATTATAGCAAATGTAATTCGTGGTATACATAAATAAAATATGAGTAGTTTAAATTGTAAATGTCTGGGCGCTCCTGGAGAGCCGATTCAACAAATGGTAACAGTCTTTTTGCCCGTTATTTGTGGGGATTACCTAACAATTTATAGCACCTACGGAAGGTCTCTCATCAACGCCGCCCTCTGTTGCTCGTACCGGACACATTCCAGTAATAAGTGATATGCTTCTTCTACTACTCCACATAACTCGCAATTAGAATTGTTTTTTCATCAAAAAAGCAAAACTGTTTATTAGAACGTGTCCGGTTCTCTTCCTTAGTGCGATGACAACTATTTTCCTACCATAGTTGCACTCTGCAAACCAAGGCAAGCGATGCGAGGGAAGCGATCTGATATCATTTGAGCACATTTCAAGTTATATTTGGAGAGAAATTCTGAGTGGCATGGTAGTATATTCACCACTTGCCTGACTGTTATTTCACGCTTAGCTAGGATGTTGGCATCATTCCCCTTTAGTCCAATTTTTTTTTGTAATATCAAGTGACGGGCACGAGTAAGTCGTGCGCCTGATGGTAAGCTGTCACACACGCCTGTCCATAACAATTGCAGTGCCACGCAAAGCTTTAAATCGCAAAGATCTTATGGGCACTGCTACTGCGCCGGTCACCGCGACATAAGTTGACAAGTCCCATGTGCCTGTAATTTCACCAGCACACTTACCCTTCAAAACCGGAACTCCGTAATGCCGACATTATTGCTTGGCGACAGAAATAGGTAAGGTAAGGTAAGGCAGTACTTCCCTAGACGAACTCTTTCACAAGGAGCTACTAAAACTACCAAAGTGTGATGGTATCCACTGTAACTTCAATTGTAGGTACATTTCGGCCTACTTAATAGTTTATTTTTGGTAAAATTATTATGTTTTGTAAAAAGTCAAGAACAAAAAAGTTGTTGTTAAATAACCCTGCGTAAGTTTTTCTATGGAACAGCTGATTTTGCTCTTCGAGTCGCAACTATGTCGTAGCAATAGTATTATGCACTTCACTATATAATATAACATGTAGAAAAAGTGGTTGTCGTGATATCTCCATCGAGATAATGATATCACATTTTCCTGTCAGTTAATGATTGGTGACCTTGTATGATACAATTTCTAATAGTAATGATTAGGTACATTGTGTTCCGCGTCCGCAAAAAAAAAAGATTCTACACAATGCAGGCGGTCGAGTGTGTCGTCATCTCGTCATTGCGTATTATACTCGTAGCCAATAAACGCCTATCTAATTGAATTACCTAATCATATACAGCCGTGTTCGAAATCTCGAGAAAAAAATTACATTACCTGTATATTGAATTCACTAATGGAAGACGGAGACAAGGAACTCTTTGCACATTGTGCTTTCCATACTTAGTTAGTGACCCTTTTGTTACCGCGGCAGGCACCACACAAAATATCTTTATACCTAGTGTACTTGTTTGTACGAATAGTTTGTATTTTAATTTAATTTAATTATTATTATTTTTCTTTTTTACATATTTTTGTTTAGTTGGTGTTTTTGTACTGTAATTATTTATTTATGTTTTACGTCTGAATGTTATGCTTTTCTTCTGTTTTGTTTCGTCTTTTCTTCCCTTTTGTGGTAAACAAATACATGTATTTTCTTTTTTTCTTTCTAAATTCTAGTTCTCCGTGAGGCTGCTAGCGGTGCTGCATAATGTGCTAATATTAAAATTGTCAAATATTAGGACATTGTGACCATTGACGTAGGTCAATGATTGTGACAGTAATTAAGAAATTACTAACGAGGGTCTATTTTATAATAGAAATTCGAAGTGTAATGACTGGACTTTTGTATTTTTTAACCATCCGTGATTATGTATCACGGATGGTAAATGTAATGCTTTTCATCACATTTGCGAGGAAATAAATACAATGGTTACTTCTTGTATGAATAAATATGGCTCACAATCATTGACTTACAAATAAATGGACGACGGGTTTAATACAAAAACCACGAAAAAAATGTCCCAAGTCAACCTATTCGAAATTTAAATTGTAATGTCATCGCAGTATCGCGCTGTCAGTCGAACAAATGAAGACTAAAGCGGAGTTTGGCGCTCTGTATACGATTTTAGCGCCTTACAAGTGCGGACACTTTTTAGCGCGGACCCGACGTCCATATAATTGTAAGTCAATGCTCACAATACAATAATTATGGCGGTTTTTTTTATTATCAACTTTTTTATTGTTATTAAGAGTTTTGGGGGATTCGCTCTGGGCCTTTTGGAGGGAAAAGTGTCGTTTTTATTTTGACTTTCAATTATTTTGTGAAATCTAGTTTAAAGTGGAATAGGATAGTGCTAATTGTGCCTTAATCGAAGATTAAAACGCGAAATTATACGAATCTCGAACTAAAATACCCGTATCGGCCCGTTCTAAGGAATCCCGAGTCAATCCAAGCACGCCGCCTCAAATTGCCTATCCTCTTTGTGGTGGCCATATTTACAGAAATATAATTAAACGTTTATGTTTTCGGCTGAAGGACTTTGTTTCCATGGCCAGCAATAAATTAAAAAAAATAATTAAGAGTTTTGGCTTGGAATCGAGACCTTTGAGCCACGTCTTCGTTTAATTATCGAGATACTCAGTAATATTTTTGATAGTAGTTCTAAATACATTATGTTTTCAATTTCTCTTAAGTAACTTAGTTCACTTATTTGGGTTTTTTACATAGTCTTTCAAGCGGCGGGTGTAAATATTTATGTTTTCACTTTCACTTAAATCACATTATCTTCTATCACTTTGAACAAAAACTTAGAATTCGTAATTAGTGGCATTTTGCAGGATAAAGACTTTTGTAATTAGGTCCAAGATCAGGAATATAGTTCTAACTTTCTTCATCACTATTTCTTTCTTCGTTTTTTCTTCATAATATACTTAAAATAAAAATAATCTTTGTAAAAACTGTACTCGTAACTTTAGAACCTCCCATTTTTCCTTTATTATCAACATGGCCAGGTAGTTATTCTTCCAACTCAAGCTAAAATGCCCGGCCCGGGAATCGAAACTGGGACCTCTGCGTGGCAGTCCGGCATGGATGTAAATATATAATTATAAGTATTAAAGTAGTATGTGGCTGAATTGTAATTAAAGTTTTGTTGAGATAACATTTTAAGCGAATCCTTTAATTTTGTACTTAAGTAACCTCCTTGCTTGAACTTGAACCTGACCTATTGAAGGAAGTACGTCGTGTTACAAATAAAAGAAAAACTCGTTACCGACCATGGCTGTAATGGAAAGAAAAAAGGCCCGAGGGTTTTATTTGGGGCATTATAGTCAAGTTAACCACCATAATATTTACTAGCAAGTGTGATGAAAACTCATTTTTAATGTTTATTCTGTTTTCGTTCTTTTACATTGCAACGGTTTTAGTTATCAACAGTGAGTTTCGTTTGTTGCAGCTATGGCTAACGTTGGGCGCGTCTCTGGGCTTCCTGATCATTGGACTGGTGCGGGGTTTCTCCGCCTCTGCGCTGCCATCCATTGCGAAACTCGACCCGCATCTCATTGAGACTAGTGAACAGAAGTCATGGATTGGTAATTGACACAATGTTATAATAAAATAGTAGTAAATGAAAATGAAATATTTTACTACTTACTCAACTTTTATTGCACTGAATTTAAAAATATCTATAAATATTAGGCCTGTTTAAAGTCAGATAATACATCACTTTTAATATGCGTTCTATAAAAGCGGTTCAGTAATTTAATGTCAATAAACCCGTGGCCAACAGTGTTGCTAGTCATCATTGTCTAATGTAATAAAGTACCGAAACGGTCAGTACAGGTACTTGATAAAAAGAAATGCATACGGATGGTGCTTACATTATATCATTATGCTACAATAACATCCTACGACATTATATTTCAAAACTACGAGTTGTACTCATCATTACGCTCTATTATTTGGATAATATTAGGGGTTAAAGTATGAAATTGCCGTTTTATTGCAATAGGTTCTTTGAATTTTCATAGAATCTTCATGGTTTGAGGTTTTCGAATGAAACTTTTTTCAAATGGTTTCTGTGATTTTTTTTTAAATTTGAAATATTTGAATATCGACTTTCAATTGTTTTTGTTATTCAATTTAGACAAGAAAGATGGATACTGCGAAAATTCGAGTGATTTTTGAATACGAGTTCCGACGCGGAACTAACGCGGCAGAAACAGCCCGCAATCAATGCTGCGTTTGGAGAGGGGTCTACTAATGAACGCATGCGTGCGATTTTGGTTTAAACGCTTTCGTGATGGAAATTTCGACTTAAAGAACGAGCCACGAGGAAGACCGCCCACACAGGTGAATAACGATGAATTAAGAGAGATAGTGGAAGCCGATCCTAGTCAAACTACCCAGGAATTAGCGGCATGGTTTAACGTTACCTTACCCACAATATTGACTCACTTGCGTCAAATCAATAAAATAAAAAAATACGAAAAATGGGTGCCTCATGATTTGACTGATCTGCAGAAAGAAACGCGTGTTGAAACTTGTGTTGCCTTGTTGAACCGGTACAGAAATGAAGGAATATTGGATCGAATTGTAACATGTGATGAAAAGTGGATTCTTTATGATAACCGGAAAAGAAAAATGCAATGGCTGACCCCAGGTCAAATGCCACAACAGTGTCCTAAAGCAAAACTTACCAATAAAAAGGTAATGGTAACTGTTTGGTGGTCTCAGCATGGTGTTATTCACTATAGTTTTCTCCGATCTGGTCAAGCAATAACGGCAGATGTCTATTGTGCCGAACTCCGAACCATGTTGACAAAACTAGCAGTAAAACAGCCCGGACTCATGAATCGATCTTCACCATTATTGCTCCACGACAACGCGAGACCTCACACAGCACGAGAAACCATTTTGACCCTTCAGGAACTGCAGTTAGAAACCATTCGTCATCCTCCGTATTCACCAGACCTTGCTCCAACGGACTACCATTTTTTTCGTTATTTGGACAATTATCTACGTGACAAGAAGTTTTCTTCCCAGGAGGCAGTACAAAATGTTTTCACACAGTTTGTGAAGTCTAGATCGTCGGAGTTCTATCGCAAAGGCATTAATAACCTTCCCATTAGATGGCAGCAATGTATAGATAACAATGGCAACTATTTTGATTAAATAAATTTGTTAAAAATTTAAAAAATAAACAATTTAGATTTTCAGTACAAATCGGCAATTTCATACTTTAACCCCTATTATTATTCCTAAGTTTATTTTTTATTTTTAAGATACATTGCTATTATACAGTATAACATTAAGGAAAAATGTTAACACACCTAATGCAATGATGTTGCCTACCTATAGGTAGATTACCATACATGGTATCTACCATATATGGTAGATTCTCTTGACCGTCTTTGGCCACTTCAATTCCTCTGTTTTCCTTATGTAATAAGAGTGAAAAAATCATTGAGCAATGCCGCGCTGACGCGAACTGCACAACGTGTTTTTCACTCTTATTGCACGGACATAAATACTTAGTTTTGTCACCGGCTCAGGCCAATGTCGCATTAATAAGTGTGTTAGCTCTATTAATTAATTAACCAAAATAAAAACTCAGGTGCCATCCCGCCGCTAGGAGCTTTCATGGGTAGTATGATATCGGGCCCATTAATGCAGAAGGCAGGCCGAAGGCGCACGCTGATGCTAACGGCGCCGTTGTGGGCAGCCGCTTGGTTGATCCTCGGTTTTGCCAAGATATTCCCAGTCGTGCTTCTTGGCCGTATCATGTCGGGGCTCTGCGTTGGGTTCATTCTGGCTCCTGTACAAGTCTATGTAAGTATTTGTATAAAAATTTATTTGTTTATGGTAAGGGCGCTAGTGAAATTACAGGCACATGAGACTTGTCAACTTATGTCCCTCAGATTTTTGCAATTTAAAGCTCTGAGAGCACTGCAACTGCTATGGACAGGCGTGTATTAGGCCCACGACAAGCTCTTCCCGTCACTTGATATTATAAAAAAAATCTACACAATAAATGAAGAAAACAAACCACTCAGACGTACGAGTATATGTGTATAAGCGTGGATTACGTACATAGGTACGCATACATGGATTCCTTTAGACAAAGTCGGTATTATTTATATTCATAGCTTTCATGAATGTTTTTATACATTCTGCTACAAACCGAAGGAACAGCAGGTGTACACAATTTGAAGCACCTAGCGCGAAACAAAAAATTATTACTTATATTTTTATGATTACTTTTAAAAGCCGCGGTACGTGGTTCGGCCTACCGGCTTTCAAGCAGAGGCCGTGGGTTCGAACCTGGGCTCGCACCTCTGAGTTTCTCGGAACTTATGTGTGTTTAATTTGAAATGTACTAAGGGCTTCGATGAAGGAAAACATCAACATCAACAAGCACGTCGAAGAAGGTTCACAATACTCGGAAAACGTGTTAAGTCTCCAACCCGCATTGAGTCAACGCAGTGGACTATGGCCTAAACCCTCGCCTGAGAGGAGACTCGTGCCAAGCAGTGGGACGCATAAATGGGTTGGTGATGATGATGATGCTGATGTACTGTAATATGTTTCATAAGCTTTATTTAAACGTTTCTAGGTATCAGTGAAGACAGATCACTGTTCTTGCTCATGTAACAATCGCTTCCTCATTGGCTTATAAACCACTTATTGTATGGATCTAAAGTGATAAGTTGAACGTAAATAAGTACCACATGTCCTATGCTGCGATGAGCACAGTGCACTATATGTGTTCATGTTCTATTTTGGTAATAATTCGTTACTTGTTAATAAATATCGTATTGTAAAAATGGTTCGTTTACGATACAGTATTCCGTAAAGACGTCTCCTTGATTTATAACTTATTTATCGAGTTCTTAGGTTTTCGTTTATGTTACACATAGAAAATGACACTATTTTTCCGGCTTTAAATCGCGTATATTTGTTTTATCAAACAAACCGACGTTTAGGGCCCTTTACAGGTTACATGGTCACGGTTGACTGAGGTGGTACAGTTTTTAACCAGTTATGTCTAATATTAATGCAAACTACCCTATTTTTTCACTATAGTTACAATAGTTATTAATTAAACACCTTATTTTCAATTTTACAAAGAAAACATTCCAATTTACGCTACATTAAGTTTTGCAAATTATTTTATTGAATGAATTTTTATTAAGTTCAATTTATTATTAATTAATGATAGAAATTAGAATAAACTGAAACATATTAATTAGTACTGCAGTCTTGTGTCTGTTTGGGATTTTTCATCAGAGGAAATACTGGATCCCAAACTGGTGGTACGAAGAAACCATCTTCCCTGTTGAAATTACGATGTTTTTTGATTTCAATGGCCTCTCGCAGCATCCTGGTTAGATAACGAACTGCTTTTGCAAGGACCTGAGGCTTGTCAAACTTCATTGAATGTGTAGGTTTATCCATGACATGCTATATGTTCTTTGACGCGGGTACAAATACTGCGCTTCGTTTGTCCAATATAAGAGAGACCGCACTCACAGTCAAGCTTGTAAACTCCTGCATCTTGTAAGGGGATGTTTCATTTCACGGGTCTCAGGAACAGGGAAATCTTCGTCAGGGGCTTGAAATAGGTCTTGATAGATGCACGCCTGAGGACTCTTCCGATCTTGTCTGTAATACCTCTCACGTAAGGCCCCGTGTGAAACCACCAACAGTCGAGCGAAGACCTGGCTCCCAATATCCCACGTTCCCCTATAGTTAGCCTAAGTTCACAGTAAATTTATTTGTTTTCCGGAACCTTTATTATTTCCCTCTAAATATATGATGTAATTAACATCAGTAGACAGTTTGTTATTTTTCAAATTTTTAAAGCTCTATGCCATCAGCCAACCATGATGCTGTTCACAAGCAATGAATTTCAGGACTGTGTAAATAGCATAGCATTCTGTTGAGAATATACTAAATTGTTATGCGATACTTATACTACTGTTGTCACGATACATTTGTTGTAAGAACAGGAGGCGTAAATCTATTTAAAAAAGACAATTAGACATAATATTAGTACAAGGTCAAGAGTACGTCAAGCTTGACACTTAATATTTAAGTCCAACTCTTTGAAGAAAAGAATTTTCTTATAAAATTTTGTATTTTTTTTACCAAACCCGAAAACGTAACATTTTGTACAGTAATAATTTACGCAGTCGCTAGCAATACACGGTACATATTGTAACTTAATTGTTTAGGCAGTGAAATCCTTGTTGATATTCAATGTCTGTAGTTTATGATTTGCCGTCAGACACTGTTGTGAAACAAAAACTTTATACAATAGGTTGTTAAGAATTTTACTAACTTGGATAACAAAAATCCATGGGAGTGAGCTGTTCAGCTTTTTTGGGTTGTTTCTACTTATAGTTTTAAATAGTAAAAACGAACAAAACATTTATTCGAAAAAATAACCTCTTGAATGGTTCACGTCAAATCATTTATTTGCTATGTACAATGCAAATAAAAATATAATAATAAAAACAGTAGTACAATTTACAAGTTACTTATATAACGTAATTCTTATTTTAAATCTAAGTTACAATATTTCATTTATTAAATTACGATATAAATTATGTTTTATTCATCCAGCGCATTACCAAAGAATCTATTAATTGACTAAAATAACCTATTTATAAAATACTCTTTCACCTTTCTGTCAAATGTTCAAAAAAATCACTACATAGTTTTAGAGTGGTTACACACGCGCGATTTTAAGCATCGATGCAAACGCGCGACTGCATCGATGCAATCGCTGCTTGTAAATCATAAGTGTAGCGATGCAATCGCGCATTTGTATTGATGCAGTCGCGCGTTTGCATCGCTGCTTGCGTGTGTGTGTAAAGATAGACGATTAGCTACTGCATCGTGTTTGCATCGCTGCTGAAAACGCCGTGTGTAACCGCTTTTAGATCCTTGCTTAAATTATTGAACATTTTGATTACAACGTTGTTGATATTGAACTTCTATACATATTTGAAACTACACCGTTCGTAAGGACTCACTCTAATTCATTTCTACATGTCGTACAGGCACGCCCCATTCTGATCAACTGGAAATTTGATCATGCAAAACTGTTCCGCTTCAAAGAGCGTATTTGTAATGGCTTGAAAGATCTACAATAAAGTTCCGAGTGAATATAGGAATTGCAATAATTGCGTAGAATTGAAAAAATCATCATTTAATTGCCCTGATAATGTGACATTCTACAATATTGAGGATTTATTACAAATTTTACATTTTACTTGATTTTTAAACTTGCAAAATTTTGTAACATTTGTTTTTTTTTATTTGATTGATGGATTGCAGGAGTATAGTGCACAAATCTATATCTAAATGTACATAAAAATTGTAAAAATATTAGTAATTCCAATTACATTTCAGTAACGCATTTATAACATGTGTATCACAAAGTAATAAAAGAAATGATGTAAACCTACTATTTAATACACATGTGCGGCTAGTTAGTCACTAAGTCATTGTAAATCGGTATATATAATTTAGAAATAAAGTTTTTAGTATTTGCCATAGTTATACTAGTATAACATAATAATATAGTATAAATATATATAATATGGACTAATAACTCTATGAGAAACTACTATAGTTGTTCATAATTATGATAGTTGCTAGTAAGGACTATATGCCGTTATCCTTTACCTTATTTATAACCAATTTATTTAATAATTTAATGTACAGGATACACACAATTCGCTTCAATTCAGTAGGTTTTCTAGTAGAGGCAATCCTCTAAGCAACGTGTAACTTTTTAATAAACGGAAGTCGTTGTTTTTGCTATGGCCACAGCCTTTCAAAACGTATAAACCATGTTCCATTGTAATTCTAAAGATCAAACACTTAGGAAAAATTCCTTGAATCTGGCTGGATTCAAGCCAGCATCTTCCAGCAAACCGTGCCAGACGCTATATCAACTAAGCCACGGATCGAACCAGCGGACCTTACGAATTTTTGTATTTGCTTGTTGCAGATCTTTGTTTTTTTTTGGTATTTAACGACTTTGCCGTAGCGCCATCTATAACAATTTCGTGTCTAGCACGGTTTGCTAGAAGATGCTGGTTGGAATCTAGCCGGATTGAAGGATTTTTTCTAACTGTTCGATTGTTGTATTAATAAATTATAAGAAACTAGTGGTAGAAACTAATATCACAAAAAATAATTAAATATCATGGTGGCGAAGTATCCTAACATTCAATAAATCTAATTACATGTTCCATTGTCTGAGAAAGTCGGTATGAAGTTGGACTCTTTTGGTAGAAAAACATGAGTTTTTGAGGCTCTGTAATTTTGAAACTATAATATAATTCAACGGGAAGCTATGAACGGACAAAAGACCTTAGATATTTGTTTCTAGATCGGGTCTCAGTAGACATACATTAATGTCATTGCGTTAAAGTAGTTGAGTTAAAATAGATCAAACTTCCGTCTGGAGCGCGTTTGCAGGATAATCCTCATAAAAAACTCGGAATGCCAATGCAGACAAGGTAATTTAGATCCCATTGATGGCAAAGGCCGCACGCGACCACACAATCTAAGAAAGGTCAACTGATAATACGTTATTATACCATAACGATTTGCAAATTGTTAAACGGAGGGAAAATGTACCAATATAAAAATGTCATTGGTGGTATTTATTCATAGCAGATTGCGTATGTTAATTATTGCGAAGCACTTCCAAGTTTTTCACACAAATACTGTATACCAATGACTTATTTTTATTGCTAAAGAGCATTGCATTTATTTTTTGCATTGCATTGTAATTATGAGCTTTCTAATTTCACGTTACCGCGAAACTTAAGAATTTACAGTGGAACTGCAGTGGTGAATTTCTTCCTGAGAATAACATAAGGTTCGACTTGATGTGTTAAGTATAATTCCAATCGCAGAGAACCAGAAAATTGTTAAATTAATTAGATATTAGGTTAATTGTTAAAATAATTATTAATTAGAAATTATAACTTCACTCTATTATAAATATTATAATAGAGTGAAGTTAGATATAAGGTTATGTAGCTGTGATAAGAATGTTAAATAGGTAAATTGTGATAAAATATGTTATAGTTAATTTGGTATGATGTATGTATGATACTAAATCAAGGAGGTGTGTTGAACATATGATAAGTATCTAGAAATAAAAAAAGGTAAACTATTTTGTCCTTGGTACGCCTCTATGTTGGTATCTGTGGTTGGATCTACTACTGGTTTTTGTTTTATAATTAAACGCCTCCAAAAAAGGAGGAGGTTCTCACTTCGACTGTATTTTTTTGTATGTACTTATGTAACGCGATTACTGCGTCATTTGTGAACCGATTTTGATGATTCTTTTTTGTTGGAAAGAGGGTACCTTAGTATTGGTCCCATTTAATTTTTTTAAATATATTTGTGACTGCAAATTAATTATTTCCAACATAGGCACAGGCACACACCACTATGGTTGTATTGTCCGCAAATAGAACTCTATGCACCCTGATATAAAATGTGGTAGAGCATTAATGAACGCTAGGAAAAGCGTGTTACGTAAGGCTGATCCTTGAGGGATACTAAAGGTGACATTACCCTTCTAGCGTTTTACCGTTTGTACTGGCCTCAACCGTTTGTTTTCTGTTGTTAAAATTAAAATACTACCTACATAACATTTCTACAATTATGTTGAAAATTATCCTCACATTTATTTCCATGATAATTAGAGATTTACTGCCTTCCTGAAATTCAATTCACACCCATGTTGAAATTGCAGGTTAGTGAATGCTGCGACCCAGAGATCCGCGGCCGCTTGGGTTCCCTTCCTACGCTAGCTATGTCGTTGGGCATCGTACTCTCCTACGTCGCAGGCAATTGGCTGATGTGGCGATATCTCGCTTTCTTCTCTGCTATTTTCTGCGGTAACTATATTGATTTAAACTGGTTCTGTTAAAGAACCAAACGAATATTAATTTATATAAACTTCAGTATATGTGTACATTCTCAAAAAAGCATATGTTATATTGCTTTTTAAATAATATTATATAATTAATGCCATTCAACCTTAGTGTATAGTGCTGTAAAAACTCGAGTCCAAGAGTCTACATTGATTTAGTCGACTCAATTTTGCACGATTCGGTGGCCTAATACTCTCACGAGTCCGAGTCGTGACGAGCGCGAGTCATCGGAGCACGAAATCGAGACTAAAAAGAACTCGAGTCGTAACCTAACCTAACCTAACCTTTTCTTTCGTGGGGAAATTCTCCCAGGAAACCTCTCCGCCGCGGGGCTTTTGAGAGGTTATGTCGGACTTGTACCGTCTAAAACCCAACGGTGGCCTTCTCGGGTAGGTACTATAGTGGGAGGGATCCGGGATCGACTTTGCGCACCGGACCCCCCCAGCACCTAGGAGGACTTACTTCCTCCCTTTCCCCTCCTCACGACGCAGCGGGCCACACCGTCCCGTCGTCCTCCTCGCGGCTGCCAAACGTACTGGCGAACGTCGCCCCCGCTCCGATCACTCCCAACGTTCACGATCACGTTCGGCGACCTCCGGCTGGAGCATCATCGCTTCACAGAAAGAGGCCAATGCTTCATGTGACTCTTGACCCGCCAGCATAGCCCAGGTGGGGCACTCCTCCAGCGTGTGCTGGGCGGATCCGTGTCCGGTGAGTACTCGAGTTTGAACAAAAACTCGACTCGAAGCGACTTCTACACTACAAAGCCTCGAGTACGACAAGCAGGGTTCAATTTTACTGAACAACTACTGTTGCCCACGAATTAAATAAAAAACAAAAGCCCAATATGGTGATTTATAAAAGAAAGAAGATATTAAGTAGGGGAGAGCGGGGCTGAACGTTCCGATTTTCAAATAAGTTGAAGTTTTGTACTGAAAATGAAGAATTGGATTTTGAACATGTGGAAATATTGAACAAATGTTTATCGGTTTTTGTAATATAATATTAGTCACTTCTACTGCAAATTTTTGACAATTTTCTTTTAGTTGTTCTGCCTTTGAGGCAAATTGTTCCGCCTAAATTATGACAGGATAACAAGGATTTTCTTAAATAAAACCACCTTTTTTATAATTGTATGTGTAAACAACTATATTCTTATTCATCAGTAATATTATTCAAAGCTCGTTTCTATAATCTTGTCTAAATATTTGACATGAGTCCGTTTGTAGTTTCGCATCCTTAAAACAAAGAAAAATGGTCATGAGAATTTTAAGTATGATTGCAGGTCAATTGGGGAAGTTGTTCCTAGGAACAACCAGCCCCTCGAGGGAGAACTTGTAGCCCCAAATTACGTTTTTATACGAAGACTGACATACCGGCAAAGTGATAGAATCAATGAAAAAAAAAATACTCAAACAATAAGATTCTTTACTAATGTCACTACAATTTAGAAAAGTTACGAATGAATCGGCCCATAATAAACAAAGACAGACCAAAAAATTTAAACAAGAAAAAATGTTCCGTGATGTTTTGACAGCTCCACGCACATAGCCACACTTCCGTCGTCGCCGGAGTAACTGAAATGGCTGCCGGCAATGCGTATCACCTGACGCTTTAAAGACGTGCTGTGAGAACAACTTACCCCGGGCCCAGCCCCGGTCTCCCCTTCTTAATTATACTACAGTTTAACACACCACACCACAACACCGCACATTAGCTCATTAGCATACCTACTTATAATAAAAATTTGGATTCAAAGAGTGGTTTAAGCTATAGGTACAAGATTTTAAGACCTAATTATATAATGATTGCATACAATACTTATAATTTCTGCGAGTAAATTAAAATAATGAAGTACAACCAATATTTAAAAGTCTATGGAAATCCAGTTGTAACGTGCTCTTTTTTATTTTGTGTAATATTGGTCTGTAACCACTTTTCTAATTATGAAGTCCTGGTACTTTTTTTAAACTTCTTTACAAACCCGTGCACAGTAGTGACATACAATTTATCTGTAATACATAGAACAAATATATACATAAAAATCTCGCCGTAATACGTTCATAAATAGCACGTTTCATTCATCATTATGGTCAAACGACAGTATCAGACACTAAAATTTGATAAAATACTTTGACTGTTGGGTTCTGTATCCATTCATTTTTATATTAAAGAAACAAATAATTCCCATAAAACAAATTCTTGAATTGGTTATTCTTGAACTGACTTCGGTGAACAAAGCTACATTAACGTTATCCATCAATCGTAAAATAAATATCTTGTGGGTAGAAATAAAATCACGCCATACGGCTCATGACTCGCGACTCCCGAGGCTATAAGGCGCCAGTCGTTTTAGTCCTACAAGTTTTTAAGCTTCATAAGGTTAAAAGGCTTCGACTCCATAAGGTTAAAAGGCTTCGACTCGAATTAGTTTTCAGTTTTAGTCTTATGACTCAAGACTTGAGGTTAAAAGACTAGACTAGTCGTGAGGCGTTCAAAATTAGTCGAGGTTTTTTAAAAGGCCTTAGAAGACAGAGCCTCTTTCGTCACTAGACTCGTTACATAAATAGACTCGAGTCTATTTCGAAACTCGATGGTCTCGTAATACCTCGAGGAGTGAGTCTCTATGTTTATGAGTCTTGAGAATGAAGACTCCCGGACTCGAGTTTTTTTGAACACTATTAGTGTGGCCGTAGCGTTACTTTAACCTTGACACTGTCTAAGCCATGAATTTTATAAATAGCGGCGCTTTTTCTGACGATGCTGCCGCTTCCGGAGTCACCTGTGTGGCTAGAGGCACAAGGCGTTGACGCCTCGAACTCGATTAAGTGGCTGCACCTTTCGGCGCGTGCTACTGCTACAGTCAAGGACGATGACAATGAGTAAGTAATCCTTAATTTGCAAAGTCACAGCCTAGCAATGCCACTTATCCAAAAAAAAAAAAACTTAAGAAAGTGCCAAGTTTTGTATATGAATTTCACGAAATTAATAATGTAATGTGCCAGACAACTACATCATTTGTTTAGTCTCAAACTAGGGAATTCCCTGTACTATGAGTATCAGAGCAATGAAATTCACTTTGGGGCAATTCCCAGAATACCCAGTCTAGAACCAATTTAGAAAAGTTCATTTCTCAAATTGGTCCTGCCATGAATCGAATCCGGGACCTTCTTATTCAGCGTCCACAGTATAAGCCTCAGGGCCACCGAAGTCGTTAAAATAAATTAAATTGCGTCTTAGGGAGTCAATAAACAATGGCATTCTAAGGGACTCACCACATTTATTCAGACGAAATCGCATTAACCCGGTTTTTATTATTAAAAGTTTTTATGTCCATGTAATAAGAAATAATCCAAGCGAAACGCGTAACGCCTTTTTCACTCTTATTGAAGGTTTTTCTGATCGGCTCAAGCCTATTCCCTCTAAACAAATGTGGTGAGTCCCTTAGAATGCCTTTGTTTATTGACAATATGTTTACAATGTAGAGAGTGCATTTTCAACTCATGCTTACATAACGGAATGTTTACTACTCAATGCTCATGGTATCAATTATATGTATAATTGCAGGATGAATGAAAAGCAGGAGGTGCGTCCAAGCCTATTCACACGGAAGGTATTATTCTCGTCGGCGGTGCGCAAGCCATTGGTGGTGGGCTTCGCGCTGCTCTTTTTCCAGCAGTTCAGCGGTATCGATGCCATAATTTTTTTCACCGTTGAGATATTCCAGAAAGCAGGTAACTACACTTTAGTGAGCATAGTTTTATTTCCTATGAGTTTGTACGATTTCGGAAGTTGCTCAGCTAATGCTCTCCGCGGCAATCTCCACGTTGAAAACCGCGCTCGTATATTATCCCTTTTATTTAATAAGCTAATCTTTCACCATGACAGTGAAGCGAAATAGAAATTTTCTAGATACAATGCTATGGATTCGGTCTAGAGTGAGTAAATAATTCTGGTGACTTGAAAAAATTAACACATGAAAAACACAAGTATATAAAACATATATACATGTTTTTGCTACATTTAAATGTCCAGGCGCAAATGCACCAGTGCACAACCATCAGTTTTAGTCAATTAGTCTTGTTAGAATAACGGATAACTCATGGTACATGTAACGTGACGCCTGTATATTTATTATTGTTTTACAAATAAAACACATGTTTATGATAGTTACTAAATTTTTCATGATAAAAAAAAAATTAAAAAATGAAGTAAAATGTTTAATGATCAAAAATTAAAAAAAAAAACAACTAAAATTAATCTTCTGTAGTTGGCTTTATACATTTTTCGATTGTCATGTGTGTCCTGTTTTGTGAAAGCGGGAGTTTTTACGTAATTTGGGGACACGAAGCTTAAAAGCGCGACAGTCCCTCTCAATGCGAGACGTATTAAGTCATGTTAGGTATATGGTAGAAGTAATAAATAAATAAATGTAATACTGAGTTAGTGACTCTTTTATTACCACTGGCATCACACAAAGTAGGTGGTATCTTTATATTTTTATTTAGTGTCTTTGTTTATGTTTATTTAAATAATGTGGTTTAATTTACTTACCGTTTCGTTTGTGATTTTGTTTTGTAATTATTTGTTTGAACTTCAAGTGTGAATGTTTTTGATTATGTTTTCTTTCTGTGTTGTTTCTTTTTCTTTTTGTGTGGTGTCATTTGTGGTATGCAAATAAATGTATTTTCTTTCTTTCTTTCTAAAACCTCTTCTTTAAATTTCCAAGTGTTATTTAATTTATAAATGAAAATTAAAAATATTAAAGGTAGGCGTTAATTAATTTTTTTGGGCTAAATAGGAATATGAAAAGGTAATATTTAATATTGTTGTGTTGATCGTGAAATGAAAGCCTGGAATTTTTTTGAGATAGCATGAGTATTTCTTTTTTCAGGGAGTTCCTTAGATGCTATGACTGCAACCATAGTCGTCGGTGTTGTACAGCTGTTGTGCAATGGTGTCAGCACCATGCTGGTGGACGCTGCAGGAAGAAGGCCTTTGCTACTGCTTTCTGCAGTGGTAATGTGCATCTCGATGGCATCCATGGGCTGCGCATTTTATTTTGAATTTGAACAGGACTCCTGGCTCGGGTAAGGTTCATTACAATTTAGCCTACGAACATTCTTATTGTCCGCTCAGGACAATATTACTAACATTATAAACAACAACTATTCTTTCACGACTTTTTAGAAAACATAATAAATTTACCAAAAATAAACTTTGGAGGTTGTAATGAATATACAAGGCCAAGAGCACGTCAAGCTTGACACTTAAAACTTAAATACAACTCTACGCCGCTTATGATAGGAACGGTCCAAAGTACAAAGTGTTCAACTTGAAATGCTCTTTACTGTACTATCTGTGGCTTCTTTGATGTGCAATTGGTAGTAAATTTAAAAGTGCAAGCTTCTCCGACGACTCCATCCCCGCTGTGTCGATTTTTTAAATTTTTATACGGAAGTAAAACCCGATGAATTATCATAAAGTCATAGAGCAAACGTTAAAATTGGTACTTAGCAATAAGGCCGCCTGATGTATATTAGCTCACTCTGTGATTTACATCACTGTTCTGTGTTGTTCTTGAATTTTTAATGTGCAATAAAGAATATCGATGCCTTACTTTCTCAAACTCGTATATTAAGACGAGTTCAGGTGATGGCAAAACTTATTATTTATTTTAAATTTCTTCTCAAGGGGGTAGTTTGGATGCATTACTTTAAGAATAGGTAAAAGGATATGAAGGAAATGTAATGTGAAATCAGCATGCAAAATTTGTATATACAATCCATTTTTTGCATTTCAGTGACTTTGTAAGGCGACGATATTTCAGTAATTCATTAATTCATTAGTTGTTGTTTATGATGTTAGTAATAGTCTTGCGAGGTTTTATGTATTTTGCAAATAACCCAGTGTAATGTACCTACTCCTGGAATTCCAATATACGTCTTAGTTTCGTATATTAGCACCGCAGTTTTTTAATAAATTCGCTGCGAAGTAATACAGTGGGTATACACTGTATTTCTTACTGTATTATTATGTGTTAGTATCAATCTTTTTATATTATAATAACATTACCAGGTACCTGCCCATAGTGAGTCTGGTGGTATTCATGATGGGGTTCTCAATCGGCTTCGGCGGGTTGCCCTTCTTACTGCTCGGCGAACTGTTCCCCGCCTACTACCGTTCACAGCTCTCGGCGATGGCTAGCGGGGTCAATTTGATCTCTATGTTTGCTGTTATAAAATCTTACCATGCTCTAGATGCAAGTATTTACATATATCATATTTTATTTCTTAAATACATTTATACCCAAGAGATAATATTAATTTAAAAAAAATCTTTGTGTTGTAATAACGCACCATATTATACATCGTCTTTGTTATTCAAAATTTAGCTAACAAAATATGAAATTTTTTTAGAGGAGCCCGGAAGTGGCCAATGATTTTAGGAGTTTTTTAATGCCAAATCAATTATTTTGCATTCTGTGCTTGACATTTTTTTTGTTAAGCAGTGTTTTTTGTTTTTCCGAACCTACAATTTTTTTAATTTTTTGTTTTGTTTATAGGCAGTATTGACTTCAGCAGGGACTTTCTGGATGTACTCATGTTTCTGCGCGTTGGCGTTTTTCTTCGTCCTATTCATGGTGCCGGAGACCAAAGGAAAATCATTAGCTGAAATCGAAGAACACTTCCGAGGGAAGAAAAAATCAGAAAAGAAAGCAGAAACTATTCGAATATCGACCATTGCGTAGAGAATATAGAGATTCGAAGGAAATATGATAGAAATTGGAACGGCATTCCAAGTTTTAAGGCCATGTTAGTGTTCCGTCGTTTTTCGTATCACTTCGGTGTTAGTCTATTCGTCCGTGTATCTTTCCCAATTGATTTTGTCCCAAAACTATTTGACACAGAAAGTTGCATTGGGGACACAGAAATTCGTGGTCCAAACAATAGTGGTTATTTTGGTTAGTTTTGGGAAATTGTGAGCGAACAATGATTTTTAGTATGAAATAAAAACTTCAAAGCACGCGTTTTGAGCGTAACGAACGACCTAAGTAAAAACTTTTTAAAAAACACTCTGTATGTTGGCTTGTTTTAGTTCCTCGATAAAAAATATAGTTACTATTTGTCGGCTTTGTAAAAATGTGTGTGATTTGGCATTATCAATAAAATACGACACCTTTACAGTATGGGGTGAAATGAAATGATCCCTTCATGAAACTGAGTCAGTTAGTACTAAAAAAAATTTTGTCCAATTTTATTCATTTTCGCTTCGCATCGCTTGACCATAAAATTGACTGTACCAAAATTGTTTTACCAAAAAAAAATACTTAATGGTTTCTAAGACAGTTTCCTTGTATTTTTTATGGTTTCGAATTTCCCCTTACTGCCTCTTTAAAAAAACACTGTATACCCGAGGTGGCTGGCCGACGGTTTAAATTGGTTTTTAGTCTAGATGTGAAAATTTTACTTTTCACTTCGATTGCGAGAAAAAGAAATATTTCAATCGTTTTCGATCTACAACAAAATTACGAACCAAAATTCTGAAGATTTTGCGGTATTTTTTTCCAACCAGACGCAGACATACATCAAACGCACTAGCACGGGAAAATAATATGTCACTACCGTCTATGCGGAAAAGGCACGGAACTAAAACCGAGCGTACTACTGGCTGTTTGAGTTTGTTCACTCGAAGTAAACTAAAAAATTAGGTACCTACTTTTCACTCTGGATTAGACGATGCACTATTACACCAGTTACCAAAGTTCTATATTTTTTTTTTTTAAACCTCTATCATATTTATTCTTTGAAATCGTACGGATTTTTTGACCAAAACAATACTTAACGGAATTTGATTACTTAGTCAGGATTTAAACTTATTTTGTTGAATAATATATCTTTGTAGAACTGTGATATTTTTAGTTAAATGTAGTAAGATATACCTAGTAGTAATAGGTACATAATATGTATCAGTTGACAATTTTAATACGACATTGTCGTGTGACGACAATGCGTGTGCCTTGTGTATTGTAAATACATAATTATTTATTAAAATTGTACAAACAAACTATTATTTAGTTTTGGAAAAATGAAACAGCCCTTTGTCATTCACCTCATTATGTCAAAACTACTCAATTAATTGGGGTATCAGCGCAAAATTGGTGTAACCCCATGAAATGCATAAAGAAGATGATAAAGAATTTGAAATTAGCCAAATTAATTTTATATGATAAAAATAGTAATCAGTAAAGTAAAAATAAAAAAATAATTATTACATTTTTTAGTAATGAAAATAGCATCCAAAGAACGATATCTATGTACTAGTGAACAATAGATTGAAGTCTTTATATCCAAATAATAATTACTAGGAGCCGCGCGTTGCGCCGGGCTGCTAAAGCGAATTCACCCGAATGCGTAAGTCCATAGGGGTTGGAGGAATATTTTGAAAACTGTAAATAAACGATTTTATATTCTATTTTTCAGGTATGTATTTACAGGCTGTAAACATAATGTAAGCATAATAGATTGCCGGGGAAACCCAAGGGCCGCATCTACAGCGTCTACCTTACCCAACGTATTAGCATAGCCACGGTGTAATGTGGCATAGCTATGCAAAGGGGGAACACTGCCAGCAAATTGGGCACCTTGCCGCGGGGACCCAACTTTATTCATATAATTTAATCCTAGTTTTAGTTTTACTATTGCTTTTATTGTATTTTTATACCTTACCTGTCTAAAGAAAAATGAAGATATTAATTCTTCTAAGACACTTTTCTCGTGCTATATTGAATTAAAGTTTGTCAAATACAGTGCTTATATTTTTATACTAGCATCGCGTATTGCTATCACGATTGTGGTTGAAACACTGGTTTCAACCACAAACGAAATGCGTGTTTGGATATATATATATTCATAACGATACAATTATAAATAAAAAAAATTATGAAAAATATTTTAAACATTTTAAACTCCAAGCTGACATTTCAATTCTATAATGAATGGCGCGTGGGACCCGCAATATGCAACTAGAGGACCTCGCGAATTTAGGCGAACGTGTGTGCCTTCATACGCGTTCATACACTGCGATCATAATGCAAAACCGAGGGATTTCGAAAACCGATTTTTTCCATTTTTAAGTTTCGGTTACCCGATTATTCGGTTTTTTCGTATATGTTTCTATGGTCGAACAAATAATTCTTTAAAAGTGTCAGAAAACTAAAAAGACATCAATTGTTGTTGCCATATTGCTCGCGCACCTCTCTCGTCTCTCGCCCACGTCTCGCGAACGCTGTTGCAGTTGTAGTTGCAAGTAAGTACTCGGTTACTGTTACAGTACTGTTACTCGGTTTTTTTCGGTTAATCGAGTAACCGGTTTGCATGCCCTACATACAAGCCGTCCTGTTACGTTTGTATAGAGTTACACTTCTTATCTTATTATACTGTGGTTTGAACCTCTGTGGCGGCAGGTACTTACGATTTTTACTCACATTTGTGAATATTTAGAAGCAATGCCCTTCGTTAATGGTGAAGGAAAACAACGCAATGAAAGCTATATGTCGCAGGAGGTAGGTTCTAGTAGCAGTAGAGCTCCTTGTAAACGAGTTCGTCCAGGGAAGTAATGCTATCTTACCTATTTCTGCCGCCAAGCAGTGGTGTCAGCATTATTGTGTTCTGGTTTTGAAGGGTAAAGGCGCTGGTGAAATTACAGGCACATGGGGCTTATCAACTTATGTCTCAGAGTGATGGGCGCAGTGATAGTGTCCCTCAGACTTTGCGATTTAAAGCTCTGAGAGGCATTGCAACTGTTATGGTCAAGCGTGTAGCTTACCATCAGGCGCACGACTTGTTCGTCCTGTCACTTGATATTATATAAAAAAAGGTTCACAAACGTTGGAGGCTCCCACTCCCAGCCAGCATTGGGTCAACGTGGCACAATAAGGCCTCTTACCTTAGGCGAGACCCGTGCCGAGAAGGCTTAGTACAAATATGCGCGACTAGCGCGAGAGCGACATAAAGCGCGAGATACTGCTATTTTCGCATAGAGGTCCCGCGCAAGTCGCGCCTTATCGTGCTAGCACTATTGGGCACGGGACTCGCCTTACAGGAATGTAAAGTGTAAAAGGTTGACAATTGACAGACACAAAAATAAAACACATAGGTGACTCATATTTGCAAAGATCCATTCTCGACAGCGGTTTAAATCGTCTACAAAGATGCAAAGGCCAAAGATGTTGCTATTTTGACAGGCTTTATTTGTTACGCTAAAGCGTAAACAACAAAGCGAGTACTTATCTGTGTACCATACTTAATAGGTGCATTTTCATATCGCTGGAGGCGCGAGACGTTCGGCCTGCACAGTCGCCATGCCGCTCACGAGTCACCGCCTCTCCTTGCGCCACTCCCGCGCACTGCACGATCCTCACTAACTAGCGAGGATGACACATATTACACACGCTCATCCTGCCGTCGTGCCTTCAAGTCGATTTGCAATTGGTCGCCGTGTTTCACACTTATCATATTTATTAGTTTTGAAAGCATAAAGATGTCTACATTGACTAACTTGGTTATGTTATACCGCCTGTTCAAGAATTAAATAGTAGGGGCGTAATATAATACGGAATTTTAGAGAAATTAAGAATAATAAAAAACGCACCCTTGGTGTAATAAAACCACATCTGCCAAATTACAACTTGCAGGAGCGAGGTTTAGAGATTTTAGGAACGAAATTAGTCGATGACTTTTTATGCTAAAACTTTCACATATATTTATTTTGTTTCATGTGCTTCGTATTTTCGTCTGATAGAAGTTGTGTTGGCGTATGACCGCATGTGGCTTTATTATGCCAATACCAAGGGTAGAAAATGTGCAACTGATTACATAAACATTAATAATGCGATTTAAGTTGGTTATAATACTGCTAGTAAATATGTTAAAAGTTTGCTATCCTATACCCATGCACAGTACAGGGAATTCAGAAAAATAAGTAAACGAGAAGGTGTCTTAGTAACACTAATGATTAATTGAATGGGGTCGGCGAATTGTCACGGATCCGTCGTTACCTGCGAATGGCGGCCGCGGCGGAGAGTGCAGAAGGACTCCCACGGCGCGAAGGCCCTGGCAAATGCACGAAATTTAACGCAGAGACACGACACGCGTGCATCGCTTGCATTACCATTGATATCACGCTCCCCAGACAAACGCTATATAAACACGGGCTACGCAAACCTAATGTATTCCAAAGCTAAATCTTAATAAAGACACATCCCACCTCAAATTTTAGCCTTTGCATTTCATGAAAATCCTACGGCAATGATTTTTGTGAGTTCTGGCGTTTATTTTGTAATATTATTAAAAAGTATTACAACAGTTATTTTTTTAAACTTTTTTAAATTTTTCAGTGGATTATCTGGTTAAGCGTAGTGGCGATATCGGTCAAATGTGAGCCTCCAGTTAACAGCTACCTGCCACCATCTGCCGGTGGTGGTAGCCGACCTTCAGCACAATATGGACCTCCTAGTGCAGGTAGTCCAATAGGCGGTGGAAATCGTCTGGGATCGGGAGGGTTTCGAAATCAAAATCAACTTCAAGACACTTACCTACCTCCCGGGCAAACCGGCCAGTCCAGTCCAGACACCCAATATGGTCCACCGTCTTCTCAAGGATTTGGGCAAGGAAGGGGTCCTCATAGAGGGTTCGGATCGCAGGCACAAGGTGGTTTTAACCAAGACCAGAGAGGAAGAGATTTGAATGCGCCGAGTCAACAATATGGAGCTCCTGGTCAAGGTGGCCCTGGAGGCATACAATCAGGCAATCGACCTTTCAGTGCTGGCAGTGGTAACGAAAGACGACAACCGCAATCTACTTATGGTCCACCGGATAGAGGGCAAAGTCTAGGAGGTGGTTCTCCTGGAAGAGGTGGATTGGGACAACGAGACCCAGGTTTTGGTCAACCCCCTGAAAGTTCATATGGGCCACCGCCAACAGGAGATTTCCAGTCTTCTGGTGATGGTTCTAGAGGCCAATCACCTAGTCAACGTGGTAGACCTCAAAGACCAGATTCAAGTTATGGCTCTCCAAATGCTGGTAATTCTCAAAATGAATTCAGTGGAAGAGCTTCAGGTGGCCGCCCTTCATCAGAATATGGCACACCTAGTTTTGGTAGTGGTGGTAGTGGTAGGGAATTTGGCGGTCAAGGTCCTGGATTTAGTGAAGGCGAATCTGATGTGAGTCACTATTACTTTTATAATTATCATGCTAGAATATTATTTAAATACTGTTTTGTTTTTAAGAAATATTCTACATTGTTTCAGGAGCCAGCTAAATACGAGTTTAGCTATGAAGTGGACGACGCGGAGACAGGTACTAAATTTGGTCATTCTGAACAACGGGATGGTGACCTGGCCACCGGGGAATATAACGTAGTGCTGCCTGATGGCAGAAAGCAGGTGGTCGAGTACGAGGCCGGCCTCCAGGGATACAAGCCTCAGATTCGATACGAGGGTACTTCGATTCTATAATCTATAGATAATATAAAAAAATGGAGACGTAATTATACTTGTATCTCTGAAGAAGCATTAGAGAAGAGCCGACTGAAAATAGCTAGGTCTTTATTTAGGTGTGCATGCTACATCGCACTTTTTTTTTATTTCTATTCCTGGTAGCAGACATTTTGTGTTGTTTGTGGTGTAAAATTATAAAAACATTATTTTTTACAGGTGGCAGAGGAGGTTCAGGGTCTGGGTTTGGTCGAGGTAATTAAATTATAGCACATAAGCACAGTATTTAATGCAATTTTTATAAAACATTCTTATGTTTACTCACGACTATATGTTTTCTGACAGGTGGTTCAAGGCCTCAAAGTCAGGGATATACTCAAGGTGAACCGGGTGGGGGTTTCTTTGGCAGTACCAATGACATTGGTTACCCGCAACGATCAGAAGGCGACGGTCAACGAGGTCCTAGTCGTTACCAACAGCAAGAATCGTTTGGTCAAGGTACACCGTCGCAAGGAACCCAGGGAATGGGATATTCAATCGGGGGGCCAGGCGGAAGAGATGGAGCAGGACGGGGTCCTAGTAACTTCGCTGGCGGTGTTCGCGGACAAGGTGGCGAAGGGTATCCTTCTGGCAGACCTGGAGACAATGGCATAGAAAATTTCAATGGTGGCGATAGGGGATATCCCAGTGGTGGCCCCCAAGGAGATAGACCTTTCGGAGGTGGATCGCAAGGAGGAAGAGGATTTTCAACAGGTGGATCTCAAGGAGGGGAAAGAGGTTATCCAAGCAGTCCTCAAGGGGCTGACCAAGGGTACCCCAGTGGTGGCCCGCAAGGTGGGAGAGGCTTTGGAGGTGTAGGGTCTTCTGGAGATGACCGAAGTTTTGGTAGAGGTCTACAAGAAAGTGACAGAGGTTTTTCTGGTGGGCGTCAGCAAGGTGGAAGCGGTTACCCTAGTGAACCGCAAGGGGGTCGTAAAGGTTTCGGCAGTGGGTTGCAAGGTCGAAGCTATCCAGGAGGCCGAGATCCAGGCGGAGACGAAGGTTATCCTAGTGGAGGACCCAGTGGTCAGCGAGGTTCCGGCTTTTGAATTAAATAAATGACGACTTCTCAATAAACATGAGCGATGTAAATAATTAAATATCTTATAAATACATGAATTTGAAAAGAACCGTTATTATTATTTTCGAATATGTCAATAATGGTTTATTCATACGTACCTCATTAATGCTACTCCACAACAATAAAATTACTTAGTAATAGTAAAAAAAAAACACTAATTACAATGCAATTACTGAAATATATAAGAAATAATATAAAAATAAATGTACGGTATATAAATGCTATCGAAACAATAATATCACACGTTATTTACATAACAGTAATTTTAAGTACACTGTATCGATATAATTGACATAGGTGATTTGATTATAAAAATAATGTATAAGATATTTTAAGTTGGAACAAAAACGTAATGAACTGTATTGGAAAAAATTTGCGCCGCCATACACCTGAAACAGAAGTTACTAAAGTTAGTTCTTTCAACTAGTGAGTTTTCTTTATAATTTCTTTGAAGATTAAAAACGATAATGACAAGAACTAACCAAGTGGGAGCTAGACTATCTGTTAGCAGTGCTACGTAATTGTTTGAGGGCGCGTCGCCATTATGTCCTACCGTTTTATTTATCGTTGGGCGACAGTCGCGCCAAAGCCTGTTCCCATATCACAACTATCTGTTGTGGACGTTCATTTTATCGCTTATTTTACTGCATTACGTGAATGTTCACACTCGCAGACAGTCGAGAGTCCCAGCTCTACGAACCAGAAAACAATAATGATGGGCTACTCATCTTTTACACTGATGCAATAAATAGTAGGCACGAATCTTGTTTTCGGATTAAGCCCGTTCTATTGGGTTACCTGATCTATGGTCTTTCTTAATATGAAATAATTACGACGACGTTCGCTAACAAACGTTGTAAAATATGCTTTATTAACATAACTGGAATCACCGAAACGAACCCTACAATTTATCGTTGTAAAAAATTTATCGTTGGACGACTGTCGCGTCTAGCCTGTTCCCATATCACGACTATCTGTCGTGACTGTGTCGTGGAGGTTTATTTTATCGTTGAACGACTGTCGTGCCTAGCTGTTCCTACTCGATCGTGAAGACAATTTATCGGTTCACGGCAGCGGGCTTGTCGTTTGTTGATAATCGCAGCTTCAAACGACAGAATCGTTTGAAGCTGCGATTATCTGTCGTCGAATTTTTGACGTGGCGTTTTATTTATAGTCGAAAGACTGTCGTTCTAGCTGATTCCATTGTGACGACAGTCTGTCGTTGTAACGTCAAAAAAGTCGTGGATGACAGTTAATCGTGTTGTTCTATGTGTGAACAACTTCATTTAAATATATAAGCCACGACACTTTAAACTGCAGGACTATCTGTCGCCACGACATAATAGGAACACACCCTAAGGCGAGGTATTTTCAACGCGAGTCTAGATTTTAGGAGTGAGGTGCGGGGGGGTGCCTCTCGCGTCCTACAATCCGGGCGCTGTAAATTAATATGATTAAAATAAGAACAGGCGGAGAAATTTGATAAGCGCCCGATGACGACTAATGGGGCAGCGAGTGGCGCGGCATGTCGTTAAACCACTGGGTAACTTGCGGATTTTGGATTCAGTGTGAATTTAATAACTAATAGGGCTTCAGTTGAAAGTCAAAATTGTAAAAATTATGAACACATTTACATATTTTATTCTTAAATAATTCGTTTTATATTTTTATTTTAGCCTTATTTCAGGACTTCATATGATCGGGTAAAGTACATTCTATCACGTAACGCATTAGCACATTCCTTAGACAATATCCTTAAGTGTATCGTATAGTTTTTATAAGACTGTTATTTAATAGTAAATACAAAAACATATTTTGATTTAGCAAAATAGTTTTTCCTGCTTCTCCCCCGGTCACTCGCCTTAATTTCTGACGTTTTTATTTGTCAATAAATAAATCATAAAAATAAATGATCGTATTGTAAGAAAGTAGATACTTACTATTTCCATTGGAAGGACTGGCAACAGTAGTATCTTGAGGTAAAACCCAAAGGAAAGTATTATCGCTTATTTGTTTGAAGTCTTCGGGTTCCAAGGGGTCTGTTGAGAATACAGGTTCGGGAGTGGTTGGCCGCGTGCCAGGCTTTAGCACTCTATGAACCTTCTCTCGTTGGTAAAGAGGCGCTATTGTAGACTGACACTGAAAGTACATATCTTAATTTACATACTACATGTTTGGATGTGACGATTGTAGCTGTCAGCGACCATATTTTTTTCGTTAAAAGTTATTTATTATGATATTAATACAAAGATACAATGATATAATTACAATTGACGGCCCCTGTGGTCAAGTTTCTTGCACACCGGTTCTCATGATGTCGCCATGTATGAGGTCCCAGGTTCGATCCCCGATCGGGTCAGTGTAGAAAACTAACTTTTCTATATTGTCTCGGGTCTGGGTGTTTGTGGTACCGTCGGTGTTTCCGATTTCCATAACACAAGTGCTTTAGCTACTTACTTTGGGATCAGAGCAACGTATGTGATGTTATTTAAAAACCGGACACATAGAAAACTTTTTCGACTTTAACTTTTTCGTGTTGGACTTAAACCCACGACCACACTGTACTGTAGTATTGCTCTTACCAACTGAGCTGCGGGTCAAGTGGAGTCATTTCACAAAAAATCTCAATAATACAAAAGTTATTATTATTTTTTCTCAAAAAACATCCAGTACACAAAAATTTTAAAAGGAAAACCATAGATTACATTGGTAACGCAGAAATCGCATTGTGTTTTTGCTATGTGGGTTATGAAATGATTACCTTCAGTTCCATGATATCGTTAACAAAATGCTTTTCCGCAACTCTAAATCTAAGTCCAAACGTTGTTTCTGTTGTGTCAGGTGGATCATCAACAACTCTCTTCCATGGACCTAAGAGTTGTTTTTTTGAAACGGGACGGTTATTGATCAGCCAGACTAGTTGGGCTTCTGGTTGGGACGCCGGAGACGTACAATTCACTGTTACTAGTTGTCCAAAGTTGTAATGGGAACGCATCCCTGATAATTGGGGACTCGACTTTGGGAGGACTGTAAAAGAAAAAAATATCAATTAGGATTAAGTATCACGCATTGCTAGTGATTGAATGTAGCAAGGAATAAATAACCTTTTGGATAACATTACAAGTTGCGGTTGTCGCAGCCTGCAGTCTAAATATAAAGAATCTCGTACTATGTTTAATTTGCAGTTGATTGATCTAACTTTAGACTCACTGTTAATAGTAATATATTTTTCTGCAGCCGCAGTGTCAAAACGAGGCTTTTCTCCCGCTACCTCGCACCTATAGAGTCCTGCAGAATCCGTGGTCAAATTCACTAAAGTTACCACATCACTCGAGGAGCGTGTCATCTGAAAAGTGAAAATTGTTATTACTGTTGCATCTTCTTGTTCTTGGCGTATTTGACACATTGTTCCGTTACGAAAACTGCATTTTTCAATTTTTAAGGCTTTCGTGGTTATTCATTAATGATAAACTCAACTACAGTAACGGCACGCTATGATGGCCGTTTCGACAGATTACAATAGTCAGGTCAAATCTCAATTGATAAATATAAATTTTTAGATTTATTACTAGTATTGTGAGGAGTAGCCGATTAAAAAGTTTTAATAAAACGAAAATAAAAATGTTTACTTAATATATAGTTAATTCGAAACTGCTTTATTTTGCATTGAGCTTTGACTCGCGAGATTGCCGGAGGTAGAAGTTGTGCTGCCCAGCAATCTAAAAATAGTATTAGATTTAATTTTTAAAAATTTCGAATTTCGGAATCGGAACAACAAGTACCGAGTTGTGTTGTAAAACTACACATCCCATAATAAATTTTACTGCACGTAACTATTGATAACAATGTACAGCAATTAGCGCCTTCAACGTAGTTATGAATTATTACGAAACGTGATGAGAGGACAAACGTCAAAACAGCGATCATAGCGTGCCGCTGCATGGAATCCGGTGCTTAGCTCAATGAAAACAAATGCTTCGACTTCAGTTTCGCTTGCGGATACAGTGAGTGTGGTTTGTCGGAAAAAAGTAAGTGACAATGGTAACGCCACAAGTAATCAAGATGAAGGTAGTCCTCGACAGCGAAAGAGGGTAGACAAGTATGTTTGCTCTTAAAACTGTAATCTGCCGCTGTTCAGTCAACCCGTGACTATGGAGCGTGTAACCTTTCCGAAATATCGGGAAAATAAAAAGAAGTCATGCCGTGGAAAGAAACCTGTAATTAGTGATAATTATTTACTGTATTTTTTTTCAGTTTTGAGGTCATCTTGTATACAGATGTGAGGGCACGCACGAGTTAAGAATGCTGCCTCAGCATACTCAGATAAACATGTTTGTTTTACCTAGATTAGATAGAGTTTGCACCTTGCGTAACTATTCATTAAATTGTAGAATTATATTGTCATTAGCACCTTATTATTACTTGAATTAGTATAAGCTTCATTGTAGTAATCATTAGGGTTCTTCTTGCACCAGACGTCAGACTGCAATAAACCAGCTTCCCTAAGACTGTTGTTGCCTATTACTTAAAGTGTACACACTCATAGCCCCGCACTAGGGAAACCCTGTATCGCGGGTTCCATGGACACACATATAGACAATAAAAAATTACGCCCAAATTAATTCACAGGAGAAATAAATGTAGGAATACAAATATTTTTCCCGGTCCGGGAATCGAACCCGGGACCTCTGCGTGGCAGTCCAGCATGGTAACAGTTCGGCTACGGAGGCAGTTAAACTTTCATTAAGTCACGTGGGTCACTGTGTACGGAAAATGACAGTATTCGCCTTCGCCACCTAGGCACATTTGAAGCATTTGCTAGGTATATTGTTCTTTTAAATATTAATGTCTGACACACTATGCTTTTATGGTGAACCAGTGTATTAACACTGCCATCATTTCCAAAAAAACCTGTAGAAAGACAGAGACATGTGATAGAGACATGAAATATTCATTCAAGAACTATTGTTCTTCGAGACCCTTTGCATAAAATAGCCAAAAAGATATATGTATACTTACGTAACTTATTGCATTGCAATAAAAAAAAACCCTAACTGACCACGCAATTTGAGGGTCGTATTCTAAAACTCTACTCAATGCTCAAGTTAGGATTTGAGTATGGTTTAAAGCACTTGATATCATACTCAAGTCCCTGCCATTAGGGTCGTATTTCCAGTGCAATCCTGACTTGAGCATTGAATAGAGTTCTAGAATACGACCCTAAGATTCCATAATATGAGCTCGGATAAATATCGTATAGTACAGTGTTACAGGTACACGTGTAGTATTAGTTTCAGCTCGTTTTAATAAATAAGTTGTCAAGTATTAATCTATCAATAGATACATATTTGTGTGAGTACTCACTGTATATAAATATTTAATCATGAAAAGAAATTGGTTCACCTAATGTATAGTTAATGAGCTGCTGTACAATACGTGATAATAAAGCCGCTATAATAAAGTGTATATCTCCATTCTCCAATTTTTCACCTTCATTTTCGCAATGTCATTATAACTTCTTCGTGTGAATAATTATGTAGCTATTTTAACTCACATCAATTGTAATGCCTTTGGTAGGAAAACTCATAGTGTTTCCATTGCCGGGCTTGTACCGGAAGAACATCTTATCATCTTTGTACCAGCTGACAGAATATAGCAGATCGCCTTGTAGGTCAAACTGGCAACCAAGCAGTGCTTCACCTCCGGTCGCGGCATGGCTTGGCACACGTAGTTCTAACAGTCGAATACTGTTTACGGTTTCTGAAATTAAACATCGATCTTAGAGTTTATGGTACTTAAGTATGCAATAGCAACAAAGTTGTATTAAAAAAAAATCACTTCATTTCAATTATTTTCGGTAATTGTTGAAAATTAAGTAATGGAATGAGAGAGTTCTACAAGGGATGTTATTAGGATCTACTTTTTAACATTTGTGTTTACCTTGAGTAGTCTGCTAAAGAACATTGAATCTTGTTCACTGGGCGCGAAATTGAATAGTCAGTGTGTTAGATATGTTATTTATTGACGTTATTAGAACTGATATAGATAGAAACAATTTGTATCTTAGCTTCTTACATTAAAAAATTACTTATTTTGTAGAACATCGTATAATATGGATATATAAGCAATTCGGTTTCGCGTATCGGAATAAATCACGATTTAGGAGCAATAAAACGTGCGCTGAGTGTAAAAGGGGTCTATTCAAAAGCCGCTCGCTCTACATCGTGCGATTCTCATTCCGCCACGGTTGCTGTCACATTGTTTATGTTAGGACATCTTCGGGATTTGCGGTTCAATTGGATTCCATAACAACTGTTACCAAACTTTTATTGCACCACGTATCGAAGTTAACAAATTTATCACTCTGGGACTAATATGTTCATATCAAAGATAATTTCTGCTGGCGATGTTCTATTTTCGTTTTGGACTTATTTTTAGTAAATTCAGGTTAAGGCTAAAAGGTTAATGTAATTTGCGCTTTATATTTGATTTTAAAACCTTACCTTGGTTCCATAGCAATAATACCAGAAATAATATTAAATGTCGCATCTTTATTTATAATAACCACTTAACTCTTAGTATCATATACACTGAACTACACCAAATGCTGAGATCATTCTCACTTGACCGTAATTTTTGGTAGTTCGAACGTGTCTTTATCTAACACCAATTCATCTTCACAAATTGCAAACATGCATGGTTAGGTTAAAAATCTGCAATTTATCGAAATGGGACCGGAGTACACAATTCTAAATTTAAAACCGATGGCGAGTGTATCGCGCAAGCGCTCTCGAGGACTGCTTCCAGCCAGTAGCAAATCGCGTGACGCTATTTCGCACGTGGCGCAAAATAAAAAACATACTCGACTGAATTTTTCTTGGGATCACATTTGTCTCGCACAAAAAAGGGTTAGGGTTACGGAGAAATGTTAGGGTTAGACTTAATTAAACCGGTGGTTATGCGTGACTGTTTGGTAATTATACTTTAATTTGGAATGACTCAGTGTTTATTTAAACGATTGGCATGACTCCTGCCGTAAATGGGCGGAAATTAACAAAGCGTTTTTTCCAACTTTCTTCGAAGTTTTTAACAAGCTTTTAGCGTTGAATCATCCTTTTTGTAAAAAACATTTGATTATCGGTGCATATTTTCTCTTAATAAAATCATAAAAACTACATTAGATACTGCTAGAAAATCAAGGCAAGTTTTAAATAATCAAATAGTAATATCTTACTATTTGATTATTTAACATTTGTTTTGCTTACATCAATTTATATACTATGGTAGAGCTTGTGTAGTATAACAGTTTTAAAAAAGCAATAATAAAACTAAGTTCACCATTTATCCCCTACGATATGCCTCTGGCGGTAAATCAACGAAGGTGTTTGCAAGCGAACGTAGAGCTGTCCCTGGTACTTCATAGCAATTCCGCTAGATGGCACCACGACATACTAAATATAGACTTTGCTAGATTAAATACAGGGAGGTTCCGGATCAAAAACAGGACTATGCAAACCAAGCTGAGTGCACAGCACATACTGAGCATCAAAATCCTCGCTAGAAAGTTGTGCATTAAGTGTAACCAGTGATAGAATTCGTCCTGGGAAATACTGCCACATTACCTATTTCTGCCGCCAAGCAGTAATGTGAGGATTACTGCGTTCCGGTTTTGAAGTTTTAAGGTGTTGGTGAAATTACAGGCCCCATGTTCCTTGTCAACTTATTTCCCTGGGTGACAGGCACAGTGGGAGTGCTTCATAGATCTTTGCGATTTAAAGGTCTGAGTGGCACTGGAACTGCTGAACAGGCATGTCGCTTACCACCAGGCACACGACTTGTTCGTCCCGTCATTGATATTATAAAAAAATGCACATCCCGTCAATTGCCAACATAAAAAAAAACAAAGTTGTATTTTGTTTGTTCTAGCTATTAACTATATATTTTACGAGCCCTATTAAATCTAACATACGCCAATAAATAATTAGTAAGTAACTTATTTTTATACAAACGAGGAACCAATAAACTTAGAACATCATTAGTAAGTAATTGAAAAGAGAAAGAGGTTTGAGTTAAAGATCAGGGCCTTCTTTATTGGACCAGTCCGGTGTAGTAGTTCATAACAAGAGACATAATCAGGTAAACAAAAGAACACTAACTCACGTTCTGTCAGTTTGCAATATTATTTTCGTCAGTCATAAACAACAGTAATAGGGAAAAGGCAAGATCTTTGATGTACGCTTTATTATACATATTTTAAAAACAAATTTAAAGAGCACTTATAATAGTTACTGGTTTAATATTATTAAAAACTTTGGAAGTTTATAATTTTGAGAGAGTTACATAAGTTTGAGTTAGGTAGTGGGATAAAGTCTGACGCTTTAAATTTTATCACATTATCTTTGAGGGTTGAGAAGTATAAGACATTTTGAGAAATAGGAGCTCGTTAAAGGAATTTGTGTCAATAAACGTTTGCGATGAACGAACGTTACGTATTGTAATGTCTTCGTTCTAAGCTTCGGAGAGCGAGGCACTTAATTGAGGAGCTAAAGGAATTATTACGATTGAGCCTTTTTGTATATGACATTGCATATACGTGTCCTCTTTACACCAATGAATTAATTTTTACCAATAGCTATGGTGGTGCCTACAGGCATATCAATAGCTTTATTGTGAAAAGGTTAAACGGTAGTGGGGTATCAGACTGTAAATCAATCATGTTGATTAATATGATGTTACTACAATTATCATTTAAATGTCTGAAATATGGATTTTGACTTCGAAATGTAATTCGTGGTATACATAAATATAATATGATCAGTTTAAATTTTATAAACTTTGCTGTGGCCCTTGCAAGGTCCAGTGTTATACCTTATGTTATACATTATACTATTTATACCTTTATTATCCCTATAACATTATGCTATTTATGCTTTGTATAATGTTACTTATACCTAATTCTCAGGTTTTCCCGACACATTAGAAGTAAAACCGTAATGTGAGCCTTACTGCTTTTCGGTTTTGAAGGGTAAGGGTGCTGGTAAAATTACAGGCTTGTCAACTTTGTCCCAGGGTGACGGGCACAGTGGCAGTGCCCCTCAGATTTTTATGATTTAAAGCTCTAAGTGGCACTGCAACTGTTATGGACAGGCGTATCGCTTACCACCATGACTTGTTCGTTCCGTCACTTGGTACCATAAAAAAATAATTTAATAAAAACTATTTTTTCGGATCTTAATCGTGTGATCGAATGTACCATGGTTACATCCAATATAGTATATTATATATACTTTGTATAACATTATGGCATGCAATAAAGTATTGAATATACATAGATGAAGTTACTGGTCGTAAGTCAACCTAATAATATTATAAAAGTTCTGTGACCGAACTAACATGAGTAGTTCACAAATTCAGTTTTATGACTGGGTTGTTGGCGAACGGCGAACGTATTGTTCATAAGTGGTTTCGGGTTGCTTTATCAATCTCGCGTGTCTAAACACTATTTTAACCCTTTCATGGACAGTAGTTAAATAACACCGCACCCAAAAATGATTAAAACTCATTAGTTATGTAATAGGAACACTGTCATTCTTTTTAAGAATATAATTTTTAAATTTGATATAAACTGTCACCTCTATGAGTGATTACGGCGACTTATAGTAGCGATGCAAAAGCGCATTCGTAAAACGCGCAATTGCATCGCTACACTTGCGATTTGTAGGCGACTGTATCGATGCAAGCGCGCGATTGCAGTGATGCAATCGCGCTTGTATTGATGCAGTCGCGCCCTTGCATCGCGTTTGCATCGCTGCTTGAAATCGCGCGCGTATGTAAAGGTAGACGGTTAGTGATTGCATCGCTAATGCACCGCGTTTGCATCGCTGCTAAACCGTGTGTAACCATTCTTCTTTTTTTTTAAATTTATTTGATACATTTTACAATGGCTTATTACATAAGTACATGCAGCTGTAGCTCAAATAACTACTAAGGGTTTATTCGTCCACAGCGATTTGCTCTAACAAATATTTCCTTAGTTTATTTTTACATTTTCCCTCCACATATAGATCTTGAATGCGCGCAGGAAATTCATTTAGTAATTTAGGAATTACATAATCTAATTTTCGAGTACCATATACATTATTTGTTTTAGGGAGTAAACATTTTTTGGTTTGTCTGGTATTCACATAATTTATGTATGTACATAATTAAATTCAGTCAAAATTGAAAGCTTTTTACTTTATCAAAAACACTCATAACTTGACAATAGCTATATTGTTTTTACACTTTATCGAATACATCATCGTGTGGTCTTCTACGTTTTTCCTTTTTAAAAATCTACATGAAAAATGTCACTACTTTTCTTTGTGCCGTAATGCTTATATAGATTCAATATAATAATTACGCTTTAACACTCTCGGTTGATCTCGTCAATATTTATGTATAAAAGAAAATAGGGCTGTCACAATAGTAGAATGATATTGTGTCATATTGAATTAGTATTAAAACTTTTGCTGTTAGAATGTTCAGTGGCACTGACATGTACTTGTATTACCTCATACAAAGACGACGGTGTCTATCGTACTGTTTTAATGTAACGTCCACAAATGTGTGCGTGTCTCTATGGAGAAGCAGTAGGCGGCAACTACACAGAAGCGGGCGTGTAATGTGTCATAGAAATGTTATTCACATAACGCTCAATTGGCATAATGTTACTTCCTATAAACTCATTATAATATATGTAGTTCACTTCGTCATAACGA